GGCAGGACTTCTCATAGTGACCCTATAGGACGGTGTAGGAGGACACATTTGGTTTCTCAGATGGTAAATCTATGAACGCAGACTTCACCTTCCTCAAATGGAGCGGCTTGTGGGTTTGAACCATTCGCTTTGTGGTTAACAGTCCAACACCTAACTCACTGTGCCATCAGGGTTTCTTTTTGATGGATTAGTTCACAGTAAATACAATCTCATACAGAGAATTCTTATGAGGAGATTTATAACCTAATGTTAGTTGCTGTGGTAGTTATATAATCTATTGCCAATTTGAGAGGAGTGTGAGTGAAGGGGTGGAGTCTAGCCTGTCAATCATTATATAGCCAATGAGGCCTCTGTGTGGGCCTGACCTTCCCCTGAGCATTCTGGGAATTCCTGTGTTTCCTCCTTGGAAGCAAGAGACACACTCTTTCTCTCTGCTCACTCCCTGAGAGACTCTCTATTGATAAGACACCTGGAAATAAACTAGTGCCCTGAGCTGGAGGAACCATGTGGAGACCCCATGGAGATGGGTTAATGACAGTCAGAGCCTCAGGGCTGGAGGAACCATGTGGAGACCCTTGTCAGTGCTGAGATGCCTCTACGGCCACTGGATCCACAAGACTTCTCACCCGATGGCCTGTGATCTTCCTGCATTTGGCATCATACCATGTTTTTCATGAATCTGAACAGGACTTTATAGATAGGTATCGGACATATGGGCTAACATCAGACTTATGATCTGGACTGGGCTGGGCTGTTTTCTCAATATTCAACTGCTCTTGTATAGAAAGCTCTTTCTTATACACATATGAGTGTCTACAGATTTTTTTCTAGTCCACCCAGACTAACACAGATGCAAAAGTAAGATATCAAAATATGCATCTAGATATACGATGTGGATTCCAGTCTGGTTGTAATAAATGTATGCATTTATTTGTGCATGCATATTCACATATACAGGAAATATTAAAATTGGTTACATCTGGTTGATATAACAAAAATCCCACTTGACTTTTACTTTCTTTTCTTGCACACATTTAAAACATTATCAATAATCTAATAAAATTAAAATACAAGGAAATTCACATATATCATCAATAAATTCATATTAATTCCCTTTATCGGAAATAGTTACATAAGAGCATACTTTTTGATTATTTGCTTTTATATCAGGTCAAGAAACTATTATTGCTTGCTTTACTAAAT